CCTCACCCCTCCCCCGCCATTTTGACCCCCCGCCGCCATTTCGTGCCGGGGGGCTGGGGCGGGGGAGAAGGTTGAAAACTGTTCCATGTAAATCTTTCCGTAAAAAATCCTCCAGGGTGCCGCCTGCCTTGCTTGGAAGCTACTGTCCAGCTCACCTGCTCCCTCCAACAGCACACGGGCCTGGATTTTGTGCCTGAGGAGGTACCTGTCCACAGGGCAGTGTGGAGGGCAGTGTGGAGGCCTGTGGCAGGTGCTGCCCAGCCAGGTATCCCCATATCTGCTGAGGGTTCTTCCCTTTCCCCTTTCCCCTTTCTCTTCCCAGCCTTTTTTTCCCTTCCTTGTACCCTCTTCCTTTTTCTCTTCCCTCTCCCCTTCCTTCTTCCCTCTATCATCTCCCCTTCATTCCCATCCCCATCATAGATCATGTCTCACTCATCTGCTTGATCCATTCTGATCCCTCTGATCCCATTATCCTCACCCATCACCTTCCCACACTGTCCCAGCCGTGCCAGGGGCTCAGGAGGCTCTGCCAGCCCTGGGAATTCTTCAGAGGGGCACTGGGCTCCAGGCCTCAGCATTCAGGCTAGGCAGCTCCATGGGTGAAGGTCACTCCATGTGCTGTTCTGGGCTGAGGTCCTGCCCCTTTGGAGCTGGGTGAGCAATTCCTCCCTGGAGAGTCCTTCAGCCAGGGGCACTAGGGACACTGAGACAGCCTGTGGGGGCACTCCTGGGTCTGCAACAGCCTGAGAGTGCTTTGGACTCCAAAGGCTGCTTTTTCAGAGAGCCATGGAATTGGTTGGGATGGAAGGGACCTTCAGGTCCATCCCAGTTCCACTCCCTGCCGTGGGCACAGGCACCTTCCAATATCCCAGGTTGCTTCAAACCCTGTCCCTGGCCTTGGACACTTCTGGGATCCAGGGGTAGCCACAGCTTCACTAAGCACCCTGTGCTAGGGCCTCACCACCCTCAAAGTCACCTTCCCAATATCCCATCTAACCCTGCTCTCTGGAAGTGGGAAGCCATATCCCCTTGTCCCAAGTCCCTCTTCCATTCTCCTGGAGGCCCTTCAGGCACTGGAAGGAGCTTTAAGTTCTCACTGGAGGCTGCTGGTGTTTGGGAACTCAAGCCTATCTGGACAGAGAATGTCCTTGATGTAACTACACCCCAAACTATCCACATGGGTACCAACTTCTCAAAGTCTCATGGATCCCAGTATCTCTTGTGGGTGCTAAGAAGGGAACACATCTTCCTTGGCCATGTCTGAGAAGAGAGGGGCCTTACCAGTGCCACCGCTCTCTCCTGGGAAGGGAGGCTGCAAGGAAGGGCCCTAAAGTCAGGAGTGGGCTGTCAAATCCAAACAAGCAGGACGTGACAGGGTATGGGGAAATGGCCTCAAATTGTGCCAGGGGATGTTTATATTAAATATGAACAAAACTTTTTTTCATGGAAAGAGTCCTAAAGCCCTGGGATAGACTGCCAAGGAAAGTGGCAGAGTCACCATCCCTGGAAGTGTTCATAAAGCATGTGGATGTGGCACTTGAGCATGTGGGTTAATGGTGAAAATGCTGGAGCTGGCTTGGCTTGATGATCTTAAAAGTCTTCTTCAACCTCAACAATTCAATGCTTTTACCTGGAAGAGCTCAGATACAGCAGCTTTGCCAGGGAGAGAAAAGGGATTTGGGGTTTTATTTCTTGCCCTTGCCCTTGCCCTTGCCTTTCTTCAGTATTGCCTTGTAGATGGACCGCACCAAGTAGCCTTTCCAGAAGGCCTGGATGCAGGTGGCAGCATCATTCCTCCTGGCCTCTTCCCGTGCAGCTTCCTCCTCCTTCTCCTTAAGCATCCTGCGCTCCTCCTCAATCGCGGTATATTCCTGGAGCAGCAGCGCGTGTTTCTCCATCAGCAGGGACAACTGTTCCTTCTCCTCGTTGTAGACAGCCTGGATCTCTTCATATGTGGTCTGGCAGGACAGCAGGGATCAGGGACAGCCGGTCAGCAGCTCCTCCCCACATCCCCAGGTGAGGGTCCTGAAACCCATCCCAAAGCCATGGAACCTCAACTGGTTGGAGCCTTTCCAAAGGGATTCAAGAGGAAGGCGTGTACCCAGTGCCCAGGGAATTTCATGAGATGCTGGGTCCCTGAATGCTCCCACAATGGAAGATTTGGAGAACCAACAATGTGGGGGTGGGTCTGCCTTGACAAATTCTGCCCCAAACATGGGGCTCCTGCCTCTCCACGGACAGGAAACCAAAATAATCCCATTATTAAACACCTGCCTGGGGTATGATTCCATACAATTAGCAGCAGCTTTCAGGCCCCTCCCTGCATTTTGCTCTGTAAGGAAGCCAGCCACTTTTATCCAACCCCATAAATACTGCAAGAACAGGAAAGACATCAGGGCCTTCCCAGAGGCAAGTTTTGGGGGTGCTAATGTGACCCTCAGCCTGTCACGGCTCAGCTGGGAGCAGGCTGTTTGGTTTCTTAACACCCAGCACACATTTCCCAAGGCTTCAGCATGAACAAGAGCAGGATTTGGATACCAGGTAGGGCCATAAGAATTGAGGATTGGAGCAAAACTGAAAAGCCTGTTTCCTGGGATCAGGTGGACATCCCAGACAGAACATGGTGACCCATTTGCCCCCAGATTCTGTGGGATTTAGCAGTGGATGTAATTTTTCCTAAAGCCAAAGCAGCAGAGGACTCCTGGACACACAGGCAGGACAAGGATCCCTTTCCTGTGGTTCACCTGGATGCAGAACTGCCTCTCACTTCCACGGCCTCCTGGGTAACAGCCATGTGTCCCTTTGGACAGGAATGTACCTGAGCAAATCACCTCATAGGAGAGCAAAGCACTGAAAGCCAATACCTGTTTTTCTGACATTTCTATGTCATATTTCTGGACCCATTCGTGAATTTCCCTCTCTGCTTTGCACTTTTCCTGAAACACAAAACAAGATCAGATCCTTGCAGACATCTGAGGCCTGGTAAGAAGGATCCTGAGTGAGAAAACAGGGAAACTTTGAGCCACAGCATCATTATATCTGAGTATTCCACCTCCTCCCTGTGACAAGCTTCCCTCAGCTGACATGTGTGTGGTTTGCCCTAATTTGAGGATTGTCCTGGGACATTCCCAAAGAGCTTTATTTGGTTTACAGCATGGAGCTGGGGGGCTGAACAGCACCTGGAAGTTGCTTTCTGCAGAAGGAAATGAACGTGTCTGATGGAATGTGGCGAGTCATCAACAAACTGAGGCAACCAGCCTGAAACTGAAGCAAGAGAGAACTGCAAAACATGAATGTGGGACAGAAAGTACTCAGTGCCTTTTAAAATATAGATATCTTCCAGGCTGTAAAACAGTTTAGCAGCAGCTGTACTGCTGTAGAAGCTGGGGCAGTTTACCCCCAGCTCTGGATGTGTGCTCTGTGGAATCATTCCTGCTCCATTTCCTATGTGGCACTGCCCCAGGATGTCCCAAGGGCTCCCAGGCCATCACGAGGTACCACCTGAGCTATTTAGACCACAGGTACAACTTGTACTTGCTGAGGAAAGGAGGTCTCTGTGGTCAGTAAATGCATCTGCCACGGTGTTGGAATGAGCTGAGCTCTCCACAAGCAGCCCTGCTGTGGCAGGAACTGCAGCAGGAACTACCTGACACAGCCACTCTGCCAAAAATTTTGGGGGTTGTACTGCAGCTCTGACTTGGGTTTGACATTTTGTCAGTGCCCAGCCCTTCATGCTGTGCCACCCAGTGCAGCAGTGACAGATGCCCCATCACCACATTGGCCTCCTGCCCGTGGGAGGCTGTGCTGGTTTGGAGAGAATACCCAGGATGAGCAAAACGAGAAGGAAAATTCCCTTTTTCCAGTTCTTGATTCTTTGTGTCACCAGTGTGTTCTGCTCAGGGCAGAGCTGTTGATACAGGGACCTGAGCCTGTCTGCTGGTCCCGTTCCTCCTCCTGTATCTTCTCAGCCCTAGGGACAAGGACTTTGGGGTGCTGGTGGGTGAGGTCTGGAACCGCCCCAACCCCAAAACCCCCCTGTCCTGGGCTGAGCCCCAGCGTGGGCAGTGGCTGGGAGGGGATTCTGTCCCTCTGCCCCATTCAGGTGAGACCCCACCTGCAGAGCTGCTCCAAGGGCTGGAGCCAGGCTGGGAGAGCTGGGGGTGTTCACCTGGAGAGGAGAAGCTCCAGGAACACCTCAGAGCCCCTTCCAGGGCCTAAAGGGGCTCCAGGAGAGCTGGAGAGGGACTGGGGACAAGGGATGGAGGGACAGGACACAGGGAATGGCTTCCCACTGCCAGAGGGCAGGGATGGATGGGATATTGGGCAGGAATTGTTCCCTGGCAGGGTGGGCAGGCCCTGGCACAGGGTGCCCAGAGCAGCTGGGGCTGCCCCTGGATCCCTGGCAGTGTCAAGGCCAGGTTGGACACTGGGGCTTGGAGCAGCCTGGGACAGTGGGAGGTGTCCCTGCCATGGCAGGGGGTGAGACTGGATGGGCTTTAAGGTCCCTTCCCACCCAAACTATTCTGGGATGATTCTATGAAATCACATTTTGCCTTCATTCAGTCCAGCCTGACTCCTTGGCTTGTCTTCTCTGCCAAGCTGGGCAAAGCAAGACCTGCTGAGCCCTCAGCATCAGCCCCATTCCACCTTGGACACTAAATCAGCTCTAAAAGGTGCCTTCTACCAAGCCAATATTGTTTGTTCTGCTCCCCCAGCAGCAGATCCCTGGTTTCTCACTATCCCACACCTGTCCTGCTCCAGCCTTGTTGCCCTGAGCTCTGCCCAGTGTCACAGCACAGTGTGAAGGTGTTCCCAGAGCCGAGGCAGCCGGCAGGAGCAGGACCTGTGACAGGCTGTGTCCCTGCTGTCGCTGCAGGGCTGCTTTCCACTGGAATCAGCAGAGCATGAGGACAGGGCGGGTGTGCTCTGACAAACACCATGTGCATCCTGCCAGGAATGAGCAGGGACCAAGGAACTCCTTGCAGCAGGCAGCAGCCAGAGCTGACAGCTCTGCAAACAGGCTTAAACCTCCTGTCCCAGAGCTCCCCTCCCCTTTACCTTCATGAGAACCAGCTCTGAGGCTCGATGCTCCAGCACCAGTGCACTGAACTGTACTTCCAGGTGCTGAATGTCCTGCTTCAGCCTGGCACACCTGTCCTGCGAGGCTTTCTCATCCTCTTTTTGCTGCTTTTCCCCTTCCTTCATGATCTGCTGGATCTCAGCCTTGAAGTCCTTGGCCAGAGCTTCCATGCTGGTTTTGAGGTTTTCAATCGTTTTGTCCTTCCTGTTAACCTAGACCAGAAAACAAGAGGAATACCTTTGGGTATTCCTGAGGCATAAGGTGGGCAGGAGAAGAAAAACATTGCAAAGGTGGAGGAGATCCAAGAAGGGGCCCTCAGGGCTGGCTCAGGGAGCACCAAGGACCTGGCACTGCCAGCTGAGGGAAGAGTTAAATTTACACAGGAGCTTTGGAAATCTTCCCCTGGCTCCTCTGGGAACCTGTTAGTAAAGGCACAAAGGAGGACAAAGTGAACAACATCCCAAGCCCCACTGTCACTGCCACCTGAGGATCAGCCAAAACAGATTCCCTGGAGTAGCCCCGTGGCTCCCTCAAGGGCTGGATCAGGCTCAGAGTGACTGTCTGGGGGACACAGCTCAGAGAGGGAAATCCCCAGCTGGGATCAGTGAAACAGATTTATTCACCATGTCCTGGACAAGCTGCCAAATTGTACATAAAGATCTCAATTCCCAGAACTCCAAGGAGCAGAGGAAAAGGGGAAAGCAGGCCCTTGGTTCTGCCAGCAGTGAGTGCAGGTCAAAACCTTCTCATCCAACTCCTCTTGGAGTAGAAAGAGAATCACAGGTAGAAAACAAAGGATTGTTGTAAGGAGCTCTGGGCTTGGCACACAGGCTGGGAAAGTGGCTGGGAAGTGCCCAGTCAATTATCTGCACCACAGCTGCAGATAAAATTAAAGATTCATGTAATTTGTATAATCACTGATTAATCACAAATACTCCGAGGCAGCTGTTAAGAGTCAGGAGTCACAGAAATGTTGGTTTTAAGCAAGAGTGAAGACAGAGCAGATATTAAAAATGGATTTTAATCAGAGCAATCTTTCCCTGCAATGATTTTTCATTCTTTCAGCAGCAGGGAATGAAGCAGCTGGCACTGTCACCCTGCCAGGATACCGCTACAGCAGTTTGTGCCTGTCCTGCCATTCCTCTGGAACTCAGGGATTTAAGTTGTTTATGTTGGCTGGTGACAACAGGTTCAAAACATGTCAAATTCGAGTTAAAAAAAAATCAAGCATGCAATAAGCATTTTTCATTATATTTTACAATAAAAATATTATTTTTAAGTTTGAGATCTGGTTGAGAAGGAATTTCTGGAACTTGCTCTTTACGAGCTGCAGTAAAGGGATAGGGTTTGTAGATACCAAGGTTTTTCCAACACTTGGTTGGAAAACACATTCACACAAGATCGTACCTCCTCATCTCGAGTCTGTATGACTGCTGCCAGCTCTTCCCGTAGAGCTGAGATCGTTTCCATGTTTTTCTCAACCCGGAGGGAAATGCGTTTCATGAATTTAATCTTTTCCTCCTCTTCATCAGGACTGGTCAGGAGCCTCTCAAGCGTGAAATCCCGGAACTCCATAAAGGCTTTGATAAACACATCAGCTGGTGACTCTTTCACTGGAACTTGGTATTTCAGACCATGGTAAAGCAAGGGGTTGGCCAGAAAGAGCCTCAGGATGTTTCTCAGGGAGCATTTCAGGCGTTGCTCCACAGCTCTCACGGGCTCCTCATCTCCAGGGCTGGCAAGCAGGTCCCGTACTGCCATTGAAAGCTTCTGATGCTCCAAAAGGCTGCTCGTGATCTCAGGTCCCAACATCCTAGCATACCTCTCCAGGGATCCAGTAATCCGTGAGATCAACCTGGTGATCTCCAGCTTGACAATGGTCTCATCCAAGACAGTTAGGATTCTTTCTGTCTCCATGCTATCAGGCTTTAACTGGCGTGGATCTAAAGCCTTCATGACACCTGATGGGATCCCTGCCTTCCCTGAAGTTGCCATGCCCTTCACCAAGGTGCTTTGCAGGGATTCTTGGAACGCAGCTGGATCTCCTGTTGCCATGGATTCAGTTAAACACCGGTGGTCTGGGTGGTTTGAGGTCTAGAAAGGACACAGCAGCACTTACACAAGGTGAGACTCTGGAAGAAAATTGAGGTCCCTCTGCTAATCTCCCTTCTTGGATTTTCTCTCTAAAAGGAAAACACGGTGACAGCATTAGAGAAACAATGTAATTTGGGGAAACGTGAGAGTCTGAGATTACCCCGGAGTTCTCTCTGGGTCTGGGCAGGGGGTCAGGACATGGGGTTGTGGATCAGAGCTGGTCTTTGTCCCAGAGCAGCTGTCAAACAGCCATGGGAAGTGGGGGATGGATTCCTGGCTTTGAAGGGTGGTGGGGAGAAAGCTTCCAGCAGCTTCTGAGTAGCAGTGAGGTAGAGCAGCACAAGCCGCAGCTCTGCAGTCCCCAAAAGGGTGTGGAGAGGGGCTTGGAGAGCCCTGGGACCACCCTGGAGGGAAGGGGAGGGTTTTCCGCAATGGGAAACCTCTACCCTTCCAGGCCTGTCCCTGTCAGAGGAAGTGGGAGAGGGGATGTGGCAGGACTGGCAGGGACAGAGGCAAGAGGAGAGAGGGAGGGGATGGGGACAGCATTAGCGGGGAGACCGACAGGGAGTGAAAGGTCCCCTCGGTGTGGGTTTGGGACAGCAGGAGGACCCAGGGACTGGGGAACAGGCAGAGGTGGGGGGGTGGGGGGTGATTCCCGGTGGGGAAGACCCCCGT